TTCGTGTGGGTCTTGCCTCACGGCACAACCTGAATTTTCCAGCATTTTGCTGGGCTGCAAGTGCCCGAGCCTCTCTGGACGCCCTCAGCTCGCCGTCTCCCCCGCGCAGTCAGCCGCTGCTGGGCGAGTGGGCCGGCCGGCCTGCGGCGCGTTTAGTAGCTAATTCGGCCGCTTTCGTGCCCCGTTGCGCTCCTGACTCCGCTAGCGCCTTCGCTGGTGGACGCGACCGAAGAAAGTATCCCCACCAGCTACTCGCTCGTTCAGTGGCTGCTTCCAACGCGCAGAAGGCGTGCTCACCTTGCAGGGTTACGTAGCCCTTGCCGCGCTCAGCCCCCCGCGTGCTGCCCCTCGGACAGGCGCAGGCGCTTGCGGCTTTCGCTATCTCCCGCGGGGTTACCCCACGCCGCAGTCACCACGGGACATCACACTGCTAGCAAATCGCCCGCCATTTTGGCGTGCTCCCCCCGGCGGTTGCTGGCTGCCGACGGCACCTTCTCCGTGAGCGCCGCGCGGCCCGCCCCGGCTAGGCTTTCCTCCCGCTGGTCTTTTGGCTTTTACTTAACAGCGAAGACTGATAGGTTTCTAGTGGTTTCAAAAGAGAGCATCACGACTCCCCAAAGGGGGTTTGGGCAGATGCTGGACGGGTGCCGCGGGAATCCGGGGACTCCCCATTTTCATTGCCAGGAGCAACATTTTGACTGCCCCTAGCCAACCGAACACCACTCCCAGGGCACATTTTAAATGCCCGGAGCCAACTGTAGGCCACTTCGTGTTTCTCGTGCTCCCAAAACACCATTCCCAAGCCACATTTTGAATGCCGGGAGCCAGCCGTAGGCCACTTCGTGCTCTTCGTGTTCCCAGAACACCACTCCCAGGCCACATTTTGAATGCCCGGAACCAACTGTAATCCACTTCGTGTTCTTCGTGTTCCCAGAACACCAGTCCCGGGCTAATTTTGAATGCCCGGGGCCAACTGTAGGCCACTTCGTGTCGTTCGTGTTCCCAGCACAACTCCTGCACCATATTTTGATTGCCCGGAGCCAACTGTGGGTCACTTCGTGATTTTCGTGTTCTCAAAATACCAGCTGAGCCCGAGCTGAGGCAGGCTGAGGCTGAGGCTGAGGCACGCCGAGGAAGGCTGAGGCTGAGGCTGAGGCATGCTGAGGCTGAGGCAGAGGCTGACGCAGGCTGAGGCCGAGGCAGGCTGAGGCTGAGGCCGAGGCAGGCTGAGGCTGAGGCTGAGGCAAGCCGAGGCAGGCTGAGGCTGAGGCTGAAACTGAGGCAGGCTGAGGCATCCGTACGAATCCATAGGAATCCTTACGAATCCCTAGGAATCCTTAGGAATCCGTAGGCATCCTTGGGAATCCGTAGGCATAGTTAAGCATCCTCAGGAATCCTCAGGAATCCTTAGGATCGCATTGGATCCTAAGGCCGTTGCCACTGCGACTGTCATTGCGAATGCGACTGCGACTGCGAAGACAGCAGGATTCGACAACTGGATTCTCACCTGAATCTTAAGGGGAATGCTTCCACGTATGCTTATACACATCGTTGTTCGGTTGCTTTGCCGGGACAAGTTTATGTTTCTCTCTCTCTCTCTGTCCTTTTTTTTTCCCCGTGTGCAATTTAGGTTCCTGTTTGTGAGCTATAGTTTTGGACGGCGCGCGGACTTTACGTTTGCGCTCGCGAACAAAATATCCCCGCCAACCATTCCAGAAACGATGTCCAGGCGAGTTGAGGTGACCAGGGGGGTGCGGGAGCAAAGAGGGGGACGGCCGAACCGTGCGAACGAGGGAGGAGGAGAAGGAAGAGGCTGGATGGATGGATGAGGGAGTGGGGAGAAGGAAAATGAATAGGAGGAGGAGGAGGAGGAGGAAGAAAAGGAGTAGGAGGAGGACGGAGGAGCAGGATCATGAGGGCAAGCAAAAGTGCCAGAGGTCTCTAATATGCCTTTTCGGAGCCTCTTGGGACATCTCTTGGGCGTTTCTTGGAGGCCTCTTGGGACGTCTTGGGGGTATCTTGACAGTCCTGGGAGGCTCTTGGGTGTCTTGGGTGTGTGGGGGGGCCGCCTGAGGCCGCTTGGGGTCATCTTGGGGGCCTCCTGGGGGCCTCTTGGGGGCCATCTTGGGGCAATCTTGGGGCCTCTTGGGGCCTCCTGGGCGCTTCTTGGGGCCATCTTGGAGGACATCGGTCAAAGAAGGGGGGCTCCTCAATTAGTGCCCCCTCGGGAGCCCCACAGATCACCTCTTGGGCCCTTCGTTAGGCGACCTTGGAGCGCTCTTGGGCTATTGAGGCCGTCTTGGGGCTCTCTTGGTTCTCTCTTGGGGCCTTCATGGGCCCTCTTGGAATTGTATTGAGGCCCCGGAAGGCAATCGGAAGCGACAAAGCGAGAAAGCAAACCACATTGATTTTCACTAGGTGTTGGAAGGGTGTGGGACATGCTTGGAGGCTATTTGGCCACTTGGAGCCGTCGTATGGCGGTCTCGGGGCATCTTGGAGC